AATTGTAGCGAACGGAACGTCAACGACAGCTCATCCTTTAGAGCCTGTTCTTCCAAAGAAAACAACCCCATTTAAGAAATGTGAGAAGATCAAAATACCTTTGTGTCAGGGCATCGGCTACAACTTCACCTACATGCCAAACATGTTCAACCACGACACACAGGAAGAAGCGGCGCTTGAAGTTCACCAATTCTGGCCGCTAGTCGAGATCAAATGTTCGGCTGACCTGAAGCTCTTCCTGTGCTCCATTTATACTCCTATATGTCACTCGAACTTTGGGAAAGAAATTCCCCCATGTCGATCGCTTTGCCAAAAAGCAAGGGAAGGTTGTGCGCCTCTTATGCGCCAGTACGGCTTTTCGTGGCCCAAGCAATTGAGATGCGAAAATTTTCCGAAATTCGGCCATAAGATATGCATAGGACGAAACGGAAATTCAGCTAAAGGATCCGTAACGACATCTTTACCTTCAGTCGCTGTTCTTCCAACGAAAACTTTGACCGCTCCAAAGAAATGTAAAAAGATAAAAATACCTTTCTGCCAAGGTATTGGCTACAACCGTACCTCACTGCCAAACATCAAGGAGGAAGATGCCGTCTATTTCCAACAGTTCAGGCCACTATTTGGAGGCAAGTGTTCTCCAAATCTGAAGCTCTTTCTTTGCTCCATGTACGCTCCTGAATGCCGACCGAATGTCACAGACCCACTTCCTCCTTGTCGCTCGACTTGCAAACAAGCGAAGAGAGGTTGTGCTCCTTTCATGCGCTTGCATCACGTTCGTTGGCCCAAGAGATTGAGATGCAAAAATTTTCCAAAAGCTGGAGGCAAGAAGTCGTGCATAGATCCGAACGGGATTGTACATAAGGGTGCATAAACAATACCTCCATAACAACATCTGCAGCTACTACCAAACAGAGCGGAGAACCAAAAAGACTGACTTTTAAACCGCAACATTTGGGCGCCATTTTCTAATATTGGACGTCATTTATATCATTAATCATACATCGTCATATTTTGCGTTAGATGTGTTATTTGAAAAAACAAGCCATACAGTAATGATGACGTGGATTACCGAAAGCTTGCGATTTTGAATCTTAAATTTCATAAGCAGTTTAAGCCTTATTTGAACTTTAAAATTGATCGTTCAAGTTCACTTCAACTCTTCTTCTATTTCTGAGAAAGATGTGCGCTAGCGGAGAAAAGTAAATAAATATTAATTTGTTATTGAGGTCAAAGTAAAAGTTATATGAAATATAATTTTCAAATGTGATGGGGAGGTAGTCTTGTAAAGATCCCTTCCATATAACAGTCAAGTTTTAATTACCCCATAAAAAACAAAAATATCAGTAATCTTTGAAATAAAAGTTATATTCATTGTTTTTCTTGGTCGACCAGTGCACAAAAATCCAATTTGCGTGAAATTAATAAATAAAGTGTTCTCTTGCTGTATCACAGAATAGAAGTGTGTTTCGGTTGCGTGAGGTTACTTCATGCCCTAGCAGTTGATAACGGGTGATTTTGTTGATTCACAACAATCACTCTTGTCTAAGGCGGTTTAGCACTAATCTTCATGTGGTTGAAGACCATTCAGTAGACATCATATCCTTGACCCTATGCGGTGGCCCATTTGAACAAATCGTGCACAAGGTATGGCTTGAGCCAAGGTGCCAACCGAAGATCGTTGTTTGATACCTCGTGTTGATTAATTCAGCTCTGTTAAGTCTTCTCGCAATCAAAGAATATTCATTGTTCTCTTGAAAATAGCGTCATAATGTCAATGAAACGTCAACTTTTTGGTAAACTTTCTTCTTTTGTATCTCCAAATTTAAGTTTGTATTCCGGCGTTTACGCCGTTCCCCTGTTAAATACTGCTATTGTGTTTGCGCTTGAGTTGACCCTTCAATTCCAATGATCTAATTCTCCCTGACTGCTACGCATTTCCTTGCAGAATAGTCACGAGAATCTGGTGTTAAATCAAGATAACAATCTCTACCTGATACGTTTGAGTATTCTCATTACCTGTTTGTTAAATAATGTATGAGTGTTATAGTGAGAAGTTACATGTTAATCCGGCATTACTGGGAGTTAAAGTGTGAAGCTGAATGAGTGAAGCAAAATGGCCTGGTTACTAACTTGATCTACATGCTGTAGTCCAAGAAGTATTAAATCAAAGATTCTAATTAATCGGTGTAATGATACAGGACTCTTTCAAACACAGTTTCCGTGAACTGGGTAAATCTTGAGCAAATGCTTGTCCAAGTAAACAAATAAACGCCTGAGTTGAATTTAATTCCCCTAATTTCTATTTTCATCACTATTAATATTATTATCGAACACTATCTCTGATTTAAATGTAATTTACTTTTCTTTCTTTTTACTTTGGCTTTGGAGACCTGGAAGAAAATATTTTTGTAGTAATATATCCGTTTGGAATAAAACCAATAAAAATAAGAGCTCGTGTTTATTCCAAACATTGACAGAGGAGAGTTATCTTAAAACATTTTCCTTCCTCTGCTGGCTCGTTTTCTTCGTTTTTACAGAGTGAACCTACAGTGAAGAATCAAAATCAACGCGAACAAAGTACATCAGAGATAAGACGACACAAACAGATTGTCATATAGTATTTTTGAGACAGACCGGGCGTAGTCAACGACATCTGAAGAGTCTGGACCCGGAAAGATGGAAAAATACAAGGGAGGAGGTTAAAAAAAAGAACAAAAGTTATGTTCATTCAGAAATAGTGCCTGATCTGCGACACCCTGAAGGACTGGACATTATTTAAGCTAAAGTTAGCGAGCCTCTTCTCTTTCCTTTATATGATATTTAAAACACAATCTCTTAGATCCAGAGTTGGGTGACAAAGTTCAAACCGCATCATTTTTGCAGTGCCTTACCTCTCATAAATTAACTAAAGTAGTTCTCTTATTTTCTCCCTTGAAAGTTTAATCTAAAAACAGCGGAGTGAAATTATTGAAATAACCTCTTCTTAGGGTCTTCGTTGTCGTAATTAAGAATTTATAAAAAAGAAATATTCCCACCTCTGCAGTATTTTTTGTTAATTTGTTTGGTTGATTTTTTTGTCGTTGTTGTTGTTTGAGGAATGATATGGTTAATTCCATTTCTTCGATGTTAACCTGACTAAGAAAGCTATGAACCATCTGGTTAAAGGTTAAGGACTGAATCACAACACAAACGTTGCGAGTTAATCATTCTGTCTTGCGTGTGATTTAGGGGCATTACCACATGCACTTGTCACATGCATTTGCGTGTTTCAGCATGCAATTTGAGACCTTTTTAACACGCAGAGCTCAATTTGCTGAGATGAGACTGACAAGATTTACTTGCCAAGTGCACATATGCTAATAGATGTTCTACAGTAATGTCATTCCATGTGGCGGCTTGTAGGGCACACGACACGCATTTTTTCCATCGTTTTTCTGAGTTTGATATTTTTAAAGTTCTGTTTTAACCTTCAAACCGGGCTAGATCTCTTTCAAAACTTTTTCCCTCTAAGAACCGCTCTTTTATCATCGAAGTTGTCGCGAAGACTGGGGACTAGTAAAATTCGTCTGACTGTCATTTCGTCAGGAGTCGTGGTGTGATATCTCCAAATTCTACAATTTCTAGTTGGCTATTTTGCGATAAGTCTAGCGACCCCGCGGGAAAGACATAATTATGTGGGTTCTAGAGCATGTCACAACTTACAATAACATAAAATCACACCATAAAATCCCTTGATGTACTAGCAGCTCAGAGGCTGAAGGGACGTTTTCCATGAATGGTAACGTTTATCAAGAACTGACTTCAGCAAGTAATTTTTTTAAGTCAGCAAGACATTGGAATCCACATCACTTGCCTTAATCTACTGTTCAGTTCACTATTTGTGTTTTGAGAATCCCGAGGAGGCTCATTTTTACGAAGGAAGCTGCTTCATTTCATAATGTATACTGAGTTATGGCACTTAAGGGCCACCGTAAAAAAGCTAACAATACAGAATTTTTCGAAAAAAATATATAAACTATTTTTCAGCTTACCGCTGTATTAAGTAACAGTCACAAAAAGTATAATACTTTTACATTTTGCCACGAAAAAAACTAATTCAGAAACTTGATTTTCTGCCGTAATAAACAATCAGAGTTGCCGGAACCTTTTAGTAATTACACAGCAGCACAGAACACTAAAAGAAAATAAAGAGCAATTAGAAAAGATTTAACAAGAGGGTCTCAAAGGGATGATGGCTTTTATGGCTGACGATTCAAATTTCAACCATTATACGACGGCTAACTATTAATTTCTTTCCGTCAAAGTTAGAAGAAGAAAAATTTAACGGTTAACCTTTTTTTAGCAGTAACGGATACAATTCGTCAATTTTCGTCAATTGCTAAATTACTTTTCCGTCTTAAGGCGAAATAACTGTTAGTCCCACTTGTTTCGAATTTGAAACAGCTTTGGTTTGCGCGCGCCGATCTTAGCGTGCGCTTAAAATAATTCACCAGTTCGTGACACGAATTTATCCTGAGTTCAATAAAATCTCGAATTCGTGTTAGGAATGACTACAGGACGGGCACAAAATGTTCGACGTCTAAATCATCATGTCTCTTTCGTCAAATTGCCATGGTCGACACTCGAATAAGTTTCGCTCATGAAAAGATTAACGTTTCACTCGGGTCTCATTTTCTTACTGTTGCTAATAATCTGTTCTTGTTCTGTTTGTTTATTATGCAGTCTTCCAGCCTATCCATAACCTTGTTTAACTTCCTCTATCTCGAAGTGTCATTTTCAAAATTTCCATTTCAAAGATATGTCATTTCATTGCTCTTTCACCTGCTGGTCAAAGAAGCTTTCTCATTTATTAATTTTGGCCATTTTACAACTAACGATTGATTTTTTTTCAGTTAAAGTTAGCAGAGGAAAATTTCTCGGTTAACTATTTTCACTACTAACGATACAACTTCACGATTTTTTAGTCTAAAGGCTTCGTCGTTTTTTCTGTTTTACGGCTATTGGTTAACCCCGTTGAGATCCTCTAGTGCTGAGGTTGAAAAACTTTCCTGTGGCGAAAAGGTTACGACATTAGAAAAGAAAGAAGCAGAAAGATATCACGCTCGTTAACTTGAATATAACCCTTAAGTCAATGCCAATAATTACCAAATAACCAGTGAACCAGAATAAGTTTTGTGGTGCTTTAAACATCCCCATCTAGAGCTATTATAGGAGCTGAGATTCACTGGCCTGAGTGCAGCCGTCTCCTCCATCGAGACATCGGGTAGCGGGAGCAGAGCTCGGGCTTAATTATTACCATCCCGATTTGAGCACTAATAGGTCTTGGTCTTAATAGTACAGTGTACGCGTCATCCTTGTAATTAGACAGTCTAATGCCTGTGTAAGTGGAACGCGTCATGTGCGCGCGCTGTTGTCGCGTATTTCGCCAATTTAAATGTTGTTTTTTATGAAAACGTATTACCAATGCCTAGTTACTTTCTCAAATTTTGTTGAACTTTTTACAATTGGTAACAGGACTTCGTGTCGTCCAATTCTGTCTGTAATCTTACTTGCGATTACCATTATTAATCGCCATCTTTCGAAGCAAAAACCATATCTTATTGGCCTTCCAATTAACTGCCTCGCCCCTGATACAACTCTTTACATTCCTAATGTTACATAATAAAAATACCTCGTGACATTCCTAATGTTACATAATAAAACTACCTCGTGTGTTACGTAATAAAAATACCTCGTGCAGTTCTTCCTGCTTCAGTTCTTTCATTTTCAAATCCTTACAACTTTGAATTGTTTCTTTCATTGATCCATCTGGTCATAATTTTTCTTTCACAAAGCTATTTAACACGACTTATTAAAACAATCATTTACATTTATCATCCAACGAATATCTTTTCTTACGCACGATTGGTCTAAAAACTTCGCATCTCGGAACAGATAATGTTCGCGGACAAACATCCATGCGTACTTTTGAGCCAAATAGAAGATGTTTGTTATTCATACCTCAGTGTGGGAAATTTATGAAATGGAAAGTGGGAAATTTGGACGATTTTAATTGGAGTGGAAGTCGCTTAAAGGAAATGAAGAACAAAAAAGATCATCCACTTAAAAGGACGGTGACATACCTATCCACTTGAAATCACATGAGAAACAGATTCTGTTTACATGGAACTATGCAAAATAAAACAAACTTATGCAAAAAAACAGCTCATAACATTTCTTGGCTCACTTAGCTCACTTAACAACAGGCAGAAGAAAAATTGTAGATTCGAAGAGAAGGCGGGAAAAAGATGAACCTCACCAACAAACTGCAGGATACCAACCTCACAGATTGTTGGTTGTTTCTTTTCGTATCAAATCATTTTTCAGTTCTACCTTACACTTTTTTAGTCGTCCAACTAGTGATTCTCATAATTACCTGTCCTTTCACCATCGTACTGAACGTTATGGTCATCTTTGCTGTCAAGAAAAAGAGACGACTGCAAACCACGTCCAACATAGCCCTTGCATGCCTAGCGACAACTGATACGATCGTCGGGATCTTTGCCTACCCAATTATCATATCTTATGAAATATTGATTTTGCAAGGGGAAATCTCTGGAGAAGTATGTCAACTTCAGGACGCAGCCAGATATTTAGCGAGCGTTGCCCTCTTCTCTTCGTTCGTTCACTTGGTTTTAATGACCGCAGAACGCTACATAGCCATCAAACATACCCTCACCCACCATGGAACCATCACCAAGACACGCGTGCTAATTGCCTCTGTCGTAGCATGGATTGTCAGCGCTGTCTTACAGATCCTTGGGATAATCGACCGTAAAATTTCCATTACTGTTAACAATGTGTTCATAGTTGCATTTCTGGCGTACATCATTTTCTGCAACGTAATGGTTTACCGTGAGACTCGTCGACATGAAAGACAAATTGCAGACCAACAAGTTTCAGTGGAGGCCAGGCAAAATTTTTTAAAGGACAAAAAAGCCTTTAAAGTTACAAGGACTGTTGTTGTAATAGTAATTTTCGGTTATTTGCCTTTCATGACTTTTACATCTTTCAGTAACACTATAGAAGTAGCAATCTCGACAAAAGTACGATATATAATTTTTAACTCAGCAATATTTTTAGCTCTCGTCAACTCTTTACTTAATCCACTCGTTTATTCAGTCAGGTTACGACAATTTCGTGTTGCTCTCATTGAAATACTTCTGAACAAAAGCCAGGCTGAAGCCGAAAAGTTTGACGATAGAAGATTTGGGTCAGTTATCGAACAAATAGGAAAGAGAAATAAAGATGTCAACCGCGTGGTGAATGCCGCTGACATCGAACTAGGAACAAACCAGGCAGGGAGACAAGTGAGGACCAATTGAATGATCCAATGAGAGCAAAATAAGCGATTCTGAGAATAATAAACATAATTAACCTTCTAACTATATACTACAAAGGCGAATAGTCCCTTTCATGCGCGCTGATTGGCTGGTTCGGAAGTGATTAGCAAGCACTATTCACCTCAGAGCGGAGAAAGAAACAAAATCGCGTGTCAACAAATTAATTTCCGATTAGTTTTTGGTATATCGACAGAATATATATAAACTGAGTTCTTTTTGTTTTTGCATGGTGTTTACTAAAACAGTTGTTGACCTCCGCTTCGGTACATAATTTTTAACTATTTAGGGGCTCGATTTGCCTAGAGTCTCGGACATGGTTCTTTTCATACTTGTAACATGTGCAGAACAATAAACAACCTAATTGGAATAGCGCTGTGGTAGAGAAATTTATAAAACGAACCTTAAAAAAAAGAAAGGCCGAGTAGAGAACTTGGTGATAAGTTCCTTGCATTTTCTTTGCATCATTTTTGGCAGTAAAATATCAATTTCCATCGCTTTGTGACAAGACTTGCCCTGGAGAGTCGTCTTTTTACAAAAACTAAGCGATGAGGAAATGACTTGTGAATTATTTCCTGCCCCAACATCTGCACTTCATACATTTGAACAATGTAAAACAATATGTGCCTAATTGCCTCCTGTTTGGCTATTTCCGTCTCTGTCATTCCATTTTGCAGTTTTCCTCCGATAACTTTATTGCAATTTCGTTCATAATCAACCTTAATTTGGAATTGTTTGAATTATTCGGCTTTGAAATCTTGCATCCTGGGAGTTATTTTCTTTGTAAATTTTCATTCACGGGACAAAATTGTTGAAATTAGGCAATTCAGGAAATAAAGCTGTTTTTTTTCTCAAGAAAATTCACGTCGTCCTAAGATTTTTCCACAAAAAAATTTTCGGCCAGAGTTCGTCGAAACTGCTCAACGAAAAAAAAAAATAGAGAGAATTCTCATGCATGTTAAAGTTTTTCCAATAACATGACGTGTGAGGCAGTGATCAGTTCCGCATGTGTAAGTTCTCCCTCTTTAGAATTGCGTCAACTCAAAAGGTTTGTGATCACAAAACAAAATTTCACCTTTCAGGAAAGTTCCTCGCTAAGTTACTTTTCGAAGACTGTCGGACTGTGGGACTGACAAATTTAATCCTTAGCGACCAGATGAAGAGCATTTTGAAAAGCTGGCTGACTTTTAGTTGGATATACATGATTGTTTACATGTGATGGTACTAGAAATAAAATGATATCATATAAATTTTTAAACTACTCAGAAACCCTGAGAAGAGACGCGCCCAGCCTTTGTTTAAAAGAAGAAGAATAATAAAAGATTGCTTACATAGGCTCAGTTATCAGAGGACTGAAATAAACGTAGAAAGTATCTGTGCCAAACTCTTAATATATTAATAATAAGGCAAGCGTGCGTCCTGGGAGCGCAGTTGAAGGGAAGTGTAGGGGAGAGGTTTAAAATGCGAAAAAAATTCAACTAGCTTAGTTATCCTCGAGTTCAAAACAGGCTAAAGCTCTCGTCACGTTGACAAGGTCAGTTTCTATAATGGCGACGTTTGGAAAGTTTCAAAACGAATGCATTTGTAATTAATGATTAGTCGATAGTGTGAGTCTTAGTTCTAAATTTTTTCATATCAGTTTTTCACGATGAGAAGTAAATCTTATGTTCTTGTAACTTTATGAATAAACACATTTCTTGTCTCAGTACAATCATTAACACGCTTGTAGCGAATAACCTGCTGTACCGATTTGTAATGGAAATATAACTACGTGGAGACCGGTTCGGTCTGTAATCATACGAGTATTAAAAAATACGAGAAACAAACCAGCCACTGCCGGGGTAGACGTTTTTCATGAAAAAAACTTTTAACTCGGTGAAATGCACGGCAACAGCGCGCACATAAGACGCGTACTGTCCAATTATACAAGCTCTTCACTTACCCTTAAAAAAGCCTGAATTTATTGAGAAGTACATTGTAATAAATAGCTAAATAAATGCAAGGACGTACAGAGGACTTTTTGGCCAACATGAATTGTGATTCACAATGTTCTAGTGCACCAAAAAAACAAACAATTATATTTACAGTATATTTTACATCCGCCTCCAACAACAACATATTTTTAAATTGATTTTTTAGAAAATTCAGGGCTGAACTTTGGACAACACAAAGCAGTTAAGAATTCCCCACAGAATTGGGTGGTTGAAAAAATTCTCTTGCCATCAATCTAAAACAAAGCAAGAAAAACACATGAATAAATGAAAATGTTAATGGAAAATTGAAAACTGATACAGGAAAATAAAGATAAATGACAAACAACAAATAGATAAAAACTCGCATAAAACCGAAAAAAAATTATAATCAAAATCGAGATAAGTTTACAATAACACGGAATCAAAACATAAATTACGTATAACAGACGACAACCTTACCTACTAAAAATATACAATAGAAACAAATGAAATTTACACGACACAGATAAAACAAAAGACACAGATCAGCATATGGTAAAAATGACGCGAATTAATACAACACATGGTACAAATAACGTCGTTGACACCAAATAACATTGACACGAACAACTAAGGCAAAACAAAAGCACTAACTTTGAATACATGACACGTGATACAAACATCAAGACAATAGAGAACACAAGCATGATAAGTGTAAGAAAATGTATATAACGTAGCTGAACTTGACACAAGGTAAAGAAAACGCAAAACTGCAACTAAGATAGAGAGCACAACTGAGAAGATATACGACAACAAACACACCAAACTATCAAAACACCACTAAAGGTAGCAAAATGATGACCCGTCTGAAACAAGCCATTTAAGGTGAAAAATGCCCAGATGGCAACAAAAGGCAGAGTGTATCCACAAGTTAACATCGTAGCAAGATTGAAATCACACACATCGGCCAAGTTACACACCAAAATGAACGCAAGCACGATACTTACGATTGCATAGAGTTCAAAAGACAACAGTAACATACAATACCAAAAACATAAGATAACATGGAACACAGAAAAAAGTGAAAAAACACAGTAATAGAATATGAAAAAGGACATCAGCGGACCCTAAGGACAAATTTTTAAATCATGCAAGGTACAAGGACGTCTGATGGGTAAACAAGGAAGTATTCATGATAAGTATGGCATTTAGAGCGTCAGAAATAACTGTAGTCGTCTTCCAGTTGCTATTGATGGACCAACGAGTCTGTGGTTAAGCTCCTCACTTTCAAGAACACAAAGAATGCTCATTTTTTAAGGTTCCCGCAAGACTTAACTAACATCATGATATTAACATGTAGGAAAAATCGACACAAGAAGACAAAGAAACAAATATATACACAACAGCAAAGAACATAGACTGCGTACTTCGTGGCTTCCATTCGTAACAATTGTAAAATAACTGTTTAACATTAAACCATATTAGAATGTGATGAGATGCAGCAAACAAATCAATAAGAGATACATAATTAAGTTGACTGGCCCTAGGCGAAAGAAAAGATAGATAAAAACAGAATTTTCATCACGTGATTACTAGAATAGTTCTAATTCCTACTTGAAGAACATAAAGTAATGAAAACTGCGAGTGACCATAGACACAAGGTAATGAATGACACATAACAAACAACCAAACACAATGACAACCAAGACAAGACATACGAACAACATACACAAAAACAACGATAACGACAACGACAACAAAAACATCCAAACGTAACAAAGAACATAAAATTGTTAAAAAGGTCATTGACACTACAGACACAATACAAGGTACAATTGGAAACCAAGGGGTAAAAGTTAACGCACAGTCAAATAAACATGAATAAAGCCGAGAGAGCGTGAAAACAAAAGGAGTTTAGTTGACTGACTGAAAATAACACATCATCACAACTAGTACAACGAAGTTAAAACGAAACAACGTGCAGCTGGTGATTACAAACACTAAGCGATGAACGACACACAGAACACAGGGATATTAACATATGTAACATTACTGACACATAACAAGAACAACGTTGAAACGCATTAAAACGAACCCATAAGAGCATGGACTTCAGTATAAAATCAACCCATTCATTTGTCAAATATCATCATAATAAAAGCTTAAATATAATAAACAGAGGCTGACACAAATAAAAGATGACTGACCCAAGCCGTAAACATAACATGACAACAAAAACACGAACACCATTACAATAAAATGAACACGGAAAACAAGGGACACTTAGGCCAAAGAAGGCCGTGTGAACGCAACAAGGCGAACACGAAACTCAACAACAACATGAACACTACTACAATAAAATTAACACGGAAAACAATGACAACTAAGGCCAAAGAAGGCCATGTGAACGTAACACAACAGAGATTCACACAGTTACAACATTACTGTCTACTCACATGAAGTATGACGCTAAAACAAAGCCACAAACATAAACACAGTAGAAAAGAGACAAGCAATGGTACATGAAGTGTCATGAAAAATTTACAACTTAATGGAATCAGTTCAAACGAATAGAAACAAGTGTAGAGATATGACCTTGATTCACTCGTAAGGCGAACATGATTAAAGTCTTTAACCAATGGTGCTCAAGACAATGAAAGAACATGAAAATCGACAGTAGACAATGATCGTGGCACACTACACATGCGCGCAAAGCAACAAAAAAACAAAACAACCAAAGACAACTGTTGGAGACGAAACACACAAACTACTCATAAAAATCTTGGAGACAAATAGCTGGTAGACATAAACACAGTGACAGATGGAAAACAGCAGAAACAGTCAGTAAACAATAAAGACTTAGCTTACACAAATTGAAGCATAAAACCGACATTAATTGCAACAACAACAAAAAGTAACACGGGGAGATTATAAACATGGACAGACGTGAGGACTAATAAAACATGATAAGGACAAGGCAAAGAGAGAATCACGACAAACAGACAGGAAAATCAACGGATTCAAGGCAACAAAAACTAAGCAAATATTAAGACAAAAGAAAAGCGAACCCGGTGTGAGCAAAATGCAATAGACTGACATTGTATACTACGAATATGTTACACAAACATTCACACGGTATGATATCGCGCACACAATACAATGAGGCGTAACACAAGCATCCAACACGGGACAAAGACAATGTAACCAATACAAAACAAAACAAGTTAACCGTGAACACAGAACACAGAAGTACGAAAACAAAGCAGTAAAGAACATAAAACAACCTTGGAACACAAAACAAAGTAACTTCATATGATCTGTGCCTTGAACAAAGTAAAACAATAAAATCACGACCTGTGGCATTTTTTGATCGATTATCGCACACGTTTAGGTCAACATGACGTGACATATAAAAAAAACTAACGATAAAATAGACACATGAAGGATACATCAACACAACTTAATAATGAATACAGACGCGCACAAAAATAGTACAAACCAATACATTCATAACAGGAGATAGCATTAACAATATAAACACAGAAGCGAAACATGAATATGGAGCACAAAAACATCACTTTAATAGTTTTAATCATGACTTCTGACACCAGTAAACACTCGCACAACATAAACACCACGGTGAAAAACACAGCAACGTATATAGGTATATAGGCTGATGGCATAAAACATCAGTAACGACATTAACACCATAAAGCGACATGTTTGACAATTATGAAACCCCACGCTTGAAGAAGAAAGGGAGAACTGAGAAATAAGAACCAAAAAAAAAGTTACGAAACACAAACGATTGCGGATCAGCATATTAGAAATAGAGGTATAAAACATATACCTCGCAACCAGCTAAAAAACAAATATGGGTAAAACATCACATAAATTGGTTCAAAGCAGCAACTTGTACAGACGTGAAACTAAAAAATGACACTGGCAACAACACAAGAGACATGGAAGACGTAAGGCCAAGCAACAGGGCGTGATGACGGAAGAAACAAATACAAAACAACAAGTAGGTAACAGACAAGTACACAATGGATTACAATTATCCTGACAACATAGGATAGGCATAGTACACTGTTGTGGATTGGGCATGAGAAACACAAAAATTAAATATGCATTGACACCAAACTGTTTAAAGGGAAACACACAATGGAGCATCAAATAGATATAAAACAATCACCCAAACTGACAGACGGTGTTCGTTCACCTACACTTAAATCACAACACAGCCGTGTACACAAACACCTACATACACACAGTGATCTTACTGAAGGATACAACACATCACTGACAATACGGAAACAAACAACGCTTTTCACTCTTCTACATAAGACAACTTAACAAATAACGCCTTCGTATTACACAAGATGGTAAAAACGCATTTAAGTCTATATAGTGGTGAGCTTTGTGTTGAACGCCGTGATCAATTGCCCGAGAAAAACTATCTGCATGACTCTGAGTGAGAATCGTGTGCAACATGTAGTATTTGCTAGCAACAGTGGTCATATGATCATATTCTGAACCCTGACCTCAAAATGTAAAAGTTTTTAAAAGTTTAAATTTAGTTGATGAATGTGGTAGTTATATCAGTTTCAATCTCACAAGTGCTTCTCGCTGCTGGCAAACTGAATTTTTTTTAGTGATAGCGTTGCTCGAAGCCTTTTCGACACGAATTATGGCATAGGGTTGTTTCACCCTCTTCGACACCTAAGATCTTCAAAAATCAACATTTTTTGACGAAGTGTGATTAAAATAAAAATGATCACCATCATTAATTTTTTTTTTAACCAAATAGGCAAAAACTCCTCCTCAGGCAATTTCTCGCGGGCGTCTCAGTTCGCGTCAGAATAAGTAAGAAGTGTTATACGTATCTGCGTTTCCACAGCATTTCAGCGTTTTGTCAACTTTACATTAGCCGACCAGACATAACTGTCCGTGTTTACGTCAGTCGTCCGAGATGTCAAGTTAGTCCAAGCCGTTTGTCAGAGACTGATGAGAAGTCGTCAGGGCTTTGTTCATTGGTTCTTCCCAAGAGTCTTTGTGGTGAATCTCTGCTATTTGTTTCATCCGTCGGTTACAGTATGTTACGTCATAAGGTTAAAAAAGGTCGTTACCTTCAAAGAAAAGCAAAGGAGTTTAGAGGTTGAAGAGGTAGTGGTATATCTGTTAAAGCAAAGTCTGAAGTTGGGCGATAAATCGTTACTTGAGCGTGAATTGATGAATTCATCTTGAAATCATAGATTTTGGCTGCAATATGGAGTGTAACGGATGTTTCTTTGGATATTCACGGGAAAAGTAAAGAAAAGCACGAATAATTAAAAATGTCTTAATAAATAATGAAGCCTTGACTCTGCTCTGGAAAAGCCAGGGAAAAGTCCCGGAAATGGTCGGACATTGTACAATTTAGCAGATGGCGTGACAGCTTTAGCTCAGCTCTATGCTTTGTACTCTAACCAATGACGACGCGCGTTGTATTTGAACTTTACTATAATAATTTTTGGCTGAAAAGAAAAAATCCTCATCCGCATTCAGGAACTTCAATTAATATTTAGCATACTTCAGAATTTTACTTCACTTTCGTCAGGTTATTCATTTGTTATTTACTTTAAATGGGAAAGTATTGCTGAAATAAAGTCTAGTGTGATACTTAAGTCTAAGCAAAAGGAATTAGAGCCTTTTGTACGTAATGGTTTCTTTGCAAACCTCCATTTCGAGGGTCCATACAAGCACAATATGAAAGCCCCGACAAAGAGGAATTAGGGTGATCTATTTTCCCGCCTTATGCCGACCGTCGTCTTCGCAGCTCTAACCACCTTGAAAAGTCCAAAATCTTTTTCTATCGTTGTTGGGAATCTGTCTTCTCATCGTGAATGCTCATCCTCAGCCGAAAATGTGAAAAGCGAAAATGATTTCTGTCAAGAAATATGAGCAAAATTCCTTGAATATAAAATGAAAGACAACAGAGTCTTAAGTGCAACTCGTACGGACAAGATTGTTCCTCTTTTCAATTATATCTAAGTACTTTAATGGTGACCAAGCGGACTCCGCAGCAGTCAAGGAAAATATTGTAAGAATTTAGATTTATGCCATTCCTTCGTTACATTCTCTTAACCACTTTTCTGTGAAAACTGTCTAAATCGTTATATTTATTTTGGTATAGGATGAGTTCGACACATTGAACTAAAGACTCTTCTAACTTTGGGGCTGTTGCAGGTTAGACTAAAGCTTAGCTAAAGTACTTTCAACTCTCAAGAAGTAAAAATGTATATAATACATCTGCCATATTAGAATTCTATTATTGCCAAGGCCACTTACCAGTTAAGTCTAAAATTTTAATCGAGTCTCCTCGGCTGCTTGGTTTGTCCTGCTCAATATTTAAATGGAACATAAACCACAGAATATTTTCCATCCCGGTAAATTTTGCGAAGGAATTCTTTACCATTATACCAGATTTACGGAGGTCCTAAAATACTTTACACTCCTACAGAAGAAACAAAGCATTACGATTTTCTTTATTAAAGTTTGCCACACCTTTCTGAGCTAATTTACATACAAAGTTGACGTCACATAAATAAGCCAATCACAGTGTCAATCTATCCAACATAAAACCTAAGTTTATTTCGTGTTCTCTAATAATGAGAGTGAGATGAACTTCAGGTACATGTCAATGTGCTGTTAATAAAGCTGATGGATATTGATTACCATGGTGACAAGTTCTTTGACATGTACTTGTTCAACCTGTTCATACCACCAGTTTTTTTTTTATTGTTTTCGGCACGCTCCAAAAGTCTTTAACCATATAAGTTAACGCCGTTTCACGCTATGAACAAAAAAAATATCGTTTAAATAACTCGTCATGTTATGATCCCTTAAAATCAAGGAAAACACTGAGGCACCGCATTATGATAAGCCCGAGATGGTGAAATTAATGGACGACGAGAAAATTGTAAGTTTAATGTCACCATTTCATGTAAATAAACCCAAAGCACATTTATTTAACTCTTTCCTTCTCTACTCGGAGAAAAACCTACGGCGTGTGGTATGAGAGAGAGTATATCAATTACTGCCTTAACTCAGAATATTTACAGATGGATGTGAAACGAAACCAAATTTGTGCTTTGTGTACAAAATGTATGTTAACTTCTAAGAAATTGCATAGCTAAAGCAAAATAAGAGTTCACTGGTAAAATTATCAACATAAAAAAGCATCTATTTAGGATTCAATCGTTCAAATACTTGTAAACGATAAATATTCTAGTTACAAAGAGAATTATCATAATGCCTTAACGCACTGTTTTTTTGTTACTTTGTTACCCCATCTTGAATCCTCCAAGTGGAGAAAAGGTTCGTGAAGAAAATAACTTATTCCAGAAGGGAAAATAAAAAAAAATTACAGCCCGAAATGCAAGCAAGTTCCCTTTCGAAAACAAAAGCATTGACAGTTGATATCTTTCTTCATTCGAAAACCTTTATTTTAAATTTCCATCTTTCTCGTAATTCAACAGCAGTATCTTCCGACTGTGCTGATCCTAGCAGTATGCAAGAGGGGTGATATTTCACTTCCTCTCCGCGTAGAAAACAGATGAGACATCGACCATTTTCCTAAACCCCGTAAAAAAACCAAATGGTCTGGTCTGTTGCATCTCATTTGTTAATATGGTGTTTCTGAAATTCAAAAATTTGGTCCTTTTCTTCCATTTTCAATGGGAATTGAAACATTGTAACTTTTGCAATTGCAAGCCGGAAATAAAATCTTAGAGTGAAATACTTAGTTTTTAAGAATGATTTCCTATGGCATAATGGGTGCGACTCATTCATACAGTGGATGTATCACTTGCATCTTACTAAATGCAGACATGAATGTCGTCATGGTAACGGGGTTTCTTGATACTGCATCTCGACGACATTTTTTTCAAAAGGGTTTTTTTTAAGACCAATTTATGAAAATTGCTAAGGTTTAATTCACCCCATTATTTTTTATTTCATCATTTACCTTTTTAACAGAGAGAAAAGTAGGTTTAACGAGAAGTTGGTTTTTAATGAAAAAATTTATCGGCATGTTTTTCTGCACGCTTAATTTACGTGCAGACAATCTCTGCATCCAGTGTCTTGATATGTTTCTGAATTTTCCTTCATTTAAATATGCAGCTGAAATCTGATGTACGTTAAACAGTTAAATTGCACGTTCGTTTGTAGATACAAATTTATCTCTTCGAGTCGATAATATTGTCGACTTAAATCCACGCACGGCCATGTAATATCCTTAACATATTTTTCACAAAAACCTGTACATACGCCTTATGATATCCATATATTCATGTCAAGAATGAAAGTATAAGGCTTATCATATAATTTACACGTTTTTCTTGAGCAGCATTTGCTGGATACAAGAAACAATCTCACATATCGTAGTTCTTATTGTGCGACAAGCAGCGTTCGCACACAAAAACATTTGTTCTCTCGCCAGCAAGTGGCATCTAATATTCTTGCCTGTACGATGGCAGTGTTTGAGTTGAAGACTCGCTTATTGGGGGGGATTTTTTTGTGCAAGTTAACGCGCTTTTGCTTTGGTGGTGTTTTGACCAATTATTTTTTGAAGAGTATTTTTGTAACCACTTGCGAACATTTTTCTGTCTGCCACGACAGATAAAAAGAAGGGTCATGCATGTAGTCCACTTGACCAGGTAATGAAATACTTCCTATTATGAAGTCTATAATTACACTTCGGTCCATTGCAATTGTTTCAAATAACTTCAAGATCTAATAATCATGATAATTAAACATGTCCAAGGCATTTCCCCTTGAACATCTCTAAATGACCATCTGTACCAGTTCATCTTTGTATTTGTTAATCCGAAAATAGGAAAATACTTTAGAGACAACTTTTGATTACCAAATTAACACACTCAAGAATCAATTGGAAATGAAGAAAAAAATCAACAAATATCAAAACAATTCTTAGCCCATCTCACTTTCTTGTCACGCTCATTCTTCGGCTACCATCAAAACTCCATACTAAGTTTTCATCGATACACTTAAAAATCTATCAAATCGCAAATGTTATGGCGTTAAAAGGGCAGGTTTGCGTGCATGAAATTCAGTCTGTTAACAGATATTTTTTAGTGAAAATTTTACCAAAATGTCAAGGGGCATCTCAATTAAAGTCAACAATTTACAACATTAATCATGTTAACGGCGCGCAAGGCATGTTATTACAGACCCTAGTAAAGGATCACTCAACCGTGAGATCCACGTTTTATTTTTTTTAATTCCGAAATGGTGCCAGGAACCTCTTTAAAGGTTCGCGCCTTTTCTTGACAGGCCGTGCCTGCCACCGGCGTTTTTCAGGTTTGTGAGTTAGGTCATATTACGCAATTACTAATTATCAGGTGGTACTATTGACTTTCACACAAAACATTAACACCAGCCAATCAGGCTTCAGTTTCTGTCGCCATGACGATCGCCGAAGGGACCAGATTGAGTCTCAATTATGACATCAATCAAGTGGCATGGGATTACTCACTGATCAAGAACGAGGCGTGTGGTAAATCACCTCCCGCCGAAATTCACCCCGACCGCCGAAGATTGGAAGATTTTAAACAAAGTCAGCCATCCATGCCAGTTCCTTTGGGTGAGTACTTAAAATCCGCAATGTGAAGGAGACAAAGGAGAACGAGGCGCCCGTAGAGTAGTTTAGATGGAAGAAACGAGCGACACTCCCTTCTATCAGGATGAGGGGATTTCATCACACATTATTTCGCCCTACCTCTTTGACAAGTCAGCCTTGCACTTAAACTTACAGCCTTTGGCGGAGGATCCAAAGATTGGAGATCTAAAAAAACATGCAACGCCTTCGGAGCTACGGTCACCCGATCTGGGTTTGCTTAAGCTTGGTTCACCCGAACTGGAGAAAATGATCATGTCTTTGCAGGGAAATGTGACAAGCGTCTCGAATGTTAGCTCGCTCTTTAACTCAAACGTTCACGCACCGGTCAACGCAGATCACGATCACGAACCATATTCACGTGGGTTCACCGATGCGTTGCAAGACCTACACGATCGACAGATTAGCAGAGAGTCTTCTCTTATAGATTTAGCGGACAACGCCGCGGAGTCTACGGATCCATTTTTAGGGCACACTACCGTGAGAAATGCATCCTTTTTGACGACAGTACCGGCGGCTACGATAAGAACTTCAACGGAGTCTGTCGTGTATTCTTCAAACTCTTCGCGCGTGGATGCTAGTGATTTCTTTGCGAGCAACGGAGGGTCTTTTTCTGCCCCAGTAAAAGGAGGCACAATTTATCCTTATAATGCCTCAGGTGTACCGGGCTACACGACGTTGTATTCGTATCCATCAGAAAATCCTCCATATTCCGCTTATCAAGATTTTAATCTTGAGAACACCGCCAATTTGCGTGCTTTTGCGTCTTATAATAACGCGCTTGCTCAAGAAAAAACGGAATTGTCTGGGTACAAATTGGAAAATCAAGGGCAGATAGTTTCCGATCATGGATCTTTGCAACCAATTGATCTGGAAGTTCAAGAGATCGTGAAACGAGAGCGGAAAAAGCAACGGAACAGAATCGCTTCTTCTAAGTGTAGGAAGAGGAAACTGGAACGCGAGGCGAGGTTGGAAACACGGGTCAAAGAGTTAAAAGAGAGGAATATTGAATTAAACGCGGTAGCCAATGCGCTTAAACAGCAAGTCTGTGATTTGAAGCAAAGAGTCATGGATCATGTTAATGAAGGCTGCCAAATTATGCTAGCTCACCAATCCCAAATGTAACCAACAGGTATCTTCAGTCATTCCAAGGTACGTGTGTAAATTAACAATTGTTGATAAGCATGTTTGACAAGCGTAAAATCGCAACCACTTCAACTAAACAAATTGCACGGGTGACTTTGTTACGTTTGGTGTAAGGAGAGAACAGAGTTGATCTGTATCTATTCGCCTTTTAACACAAAATTTTCAAGATAATTCACATACATCTCTAGTTATATTTGTTCTCGTATCGTAAGTTTGCCTTGCCAGGTAACGTAGTTAATTTGAGAATTACCTCATCAAAGAAGAATACGTAAAACTCATTGTAAATAAGCCACTTTATCAAAAGACCGGTTTAGTTTTCATCTAAGAACGGTTGAAGACCTCATTTTAATAGAGAAGTTTAGCTTAAACAGATATTTATCCCCGGGATAACTTGTATATAGTTGCGATCCGCAACGGTTTAAGATTTAACGCTTTTGCGCATGCGCAAAACAGAACATTACAGGCTTTGCTGTCACGATGGCTGGAAGGAGTGGGAATGCTTTCTCAGTCTCAAATTTTGACTCATCTCCAAAGGAGTTTGAAGAATATTAATGCACGCTAAGTTTCTGTTACAACAGAATTCTCTTCTTCCGATAAAGACATGTTATCTAATACGAGGAATTTTTCTCATTCGAAGAGCGCGTAGTCAACCAATAAACAGACTTAATACGTGTTATTTATCACAAGAATCTTTTCCCTTCTTTGAGCCAGGTTGTTGGAAAAAACTGCCGAGCCATTCTTAGTCTCCGTAGCTTTTTGCAGTTTCCTTTTTGCATTGCGATTCTTGTGCGTAACCAAACTAACTCAAGTTTCGCGTCTCTCTCGACATTGTTTCTTTAATTTTAAGTTTCCAGAAACGCTTCTCTTTGAATTTTGGGATTTGAAGATTCAGGAAAAACTATTATGGTCTTGACATGACTAAAATTGAATTCTTGAGATACAAGCTTAATTACCGTAAGTTATGATGTAATCCTCAGCCACTCGAAGAAGAGATTTCGCCTAAGAAATTTACCAAAAAATTGTCTACTACACAAAATGTTACATAATGGTTTTTCCCCTGGAAACTGCAAGATTAGTAGCTCTAGGACTAACAATGCCACGGCAGTTTTTATTGTCTGCTGACATTTACTTCATTAAGATTTCACGTGGGCTCAAAAATTTGCACATAATTTATTTTTGCTACGATTGTAAATATATTTCCAAGGTTTATTTTTTGTGTTGGTTTAATTATTAGTAAATAGCAAAGCTATTTGAGTATTTTAACTTCTTTTTTGCCGACACTTTCCTTTTTGGGAAAGACTGGTGTTGAAACATTGACTCAAGTGAGTTACTAAATGTATAAAAAAACTCTTATGAGCAATAAATCATTGTAACAAAAGTCTAACGTAAGAGAACAAACTATGATAAGGAGTTCTACATGAACGCCTCATTCCAGAAGTAATCCCTTTCAAGCTATTTTTTGACGAAGGCATCTTTCGATTTGTCTTGAATTTACCATCATGCATTGTTCCCCACCAAAATTGATCTCGTTTCTTGGTTCTCTCTTCTTTCCGTTTGGTTCGGAAACGAGAAGGGGCCTGGGAACGAGGCTACTAAACATTCTAGCTGACAGACACTAAGTCTAAAGATAATTTGAAAAGGGATGTATTTCTCCTTATTAAGGAAAATATACAGGGAAATTATTCTCTTAGCTGATTTTCTTTTGCCGATTCTAACTTGTTTCATAGGGCAACAAGGCATTTTATTCAAAACTTAGCGAGGTCACCGCAATAAATGAACTGAACACCTACTTTCATGCAAAGCAGTTGCTATAAATTTGACATTGCAATTGGTGTATAAGCCTGGAAACAAGTGAGAATTGTAAAGGAAATTAAAGTAGACCAGTTATTGCTTAAATCTCGAATTTTGCTTTATCAATGGCGGAGTCTCTTTGGTAGTTTCTTAAAGGTGCCTACCACAAGTCACTGAGAACTTGCAGGCGAGGACGAAACTGAAGAAATTTCCGTAATTTTTAAGAACTGAGTCCAACCAGATCAGTTGTTTTTAATGACAGCCTTCACTTTGATGGAATCGTAAAAAAGTCGACCACGGGAATGCCGTTAATAAGAACGATTTCGATACTCAATGCAAGACTACTCTCAGTTCGTTAACTGAATACACACGTTTAGAGAAGAAGGAATAGTATCATTTACGCATATTTATTCACGAATCTTCAACTTATTAAAATTTTCTCCTTGAAATATTAAATATTCGTTAATTCCCATATTAAAGCACAATTGTAAGATTTAAGCTGCAATAAATATCACACATTTATCTTTAACTTCCGTTTCTCTGAATGGATTAAAAGTCGGAGGAGGAAAAGTTCACAGACTGAATCCCTCTAAACAGGGCCTATTAAAAAAAACTCCCTCCCAAGTAAAAAGTATTTACCGAGGCGGAGGTGGCTAGTGGTGGATATTTAACGAGCCGCGAACCGAAAATAGAGCATTTATGTTCATGTATATAGCGATTACTCCATGGAAAGTGCGCCCGAACAATTTTTATTCACGTGTTACGATGCATCAAGAAACGAACGAGTAAACACAGCGAACGAGTGAGTTTTTTAATGTATCACAGCGAGCGAATAAAAATCGTTCAAACAATTTCCAAGGTAAGATGTTTTTATTTCATACATGCTGAGATTCTGCACATTTCAATTGAAAGATTTGAAGCCACCGACTGTGAAAATACATCGTTCACCTAATCGAAGACACGAACAACAATACTTCACAGTGTAGTTCGCAGTATGTATTAAATTATAATACGTGTACTCAGAGGCAACTCCTAAAAGCAACTGCACTAAGAGAACAGAACCTATGTATCTGTTGGCGCAAAAATTGCTCGCGCTCCGAATATAATCGCAACTCTAGTTGTGACCGTAATCTGCAACCGCAACAATTTAAAATTGCGTGTGAACTACGCAATCAGACGCAATAAAAAGCTGTGCACGCGGACTGCGCAATTTAAAGCTGCGCACACGAGCTACGCGATGGAAAGCTGCGCGCGCGGGTTTTACCATTTAAAGCCTGGTTAACAAGTAAGACGTAAAAGCAAACGCAAACCGCACTAACCACGCAACATAAAGCTGCATGCGCGATATATCCAATTAAGGACTGCATGCGTAAATTATGCAATTCAAAACTGTGGCAGGAACTACGTAATGAAATCTACGCGCGCAATTAACGCTGCACGCACAAACCACGCAACAATCGCTGCGCACGTGAGCTATGCAATTTAATATTGCACGCGTAAACTACGCAACATAAAACTTTGCGCGTGAACTACACAATCTAAACTGCACGCGCGAACTACGCAACATAAAGCTTTGCATGTGAACTACGTAATTCAAAAGTGCACGAACAAACTACATAATTAAAAGCTCAGCACGCGATTAAGGCTACACACGCGATTTACGCAACATTAATCTGCATGCCCTTTTTTTTTTACTTAATATATTATTAAAGCTAACTTAAACGAAAGTATCTTCCTGTATTGCAAGTTCTTTAGTAAGTTTGCAGCCAAGTTCTCACGGTGTTATTCGTGATTTAATGCTGTTTACTCGGATTAGTCCACATAAGCAATAGTAAAGTGGACGTGTTTTTGAATAAGAGAACACCAAGTCATTAAACCAGAACAAAACCTGGTGGTGGGGAAATAGGAGGTGATTTTAACTTCAACAGAGATTTATAAAACGAATTTCTACCTCAAACACAACGACAATTGAACTTATGAAAAAACGATAAAGTAAAGCTAAAACTTGGCGTATATCAGGATCGACCGGACAGCTAGGAAGGGTTATTTTCTCTAAGTTAGACAGGTCTATATTTCAGAATAGTTGAGCTAAAAAAGGACATATGATTACCAGTCGGCTTACGACAAAAATCCTTCTTAAAATATTGATTTAATTCTTTTAAAAACTATATTTATATTCATTAATATTTAATATTCAAGATTCTCGTGCTCTTAAGTGAGAGATTTTCTTTCTTAAAAAGTAATATTCTGTCAAAAAATAGTTTATTTTAAATCCTACTTTAGCTTCAACATCAAGACATTTAACATTAAAGGAGAGAGTACCAGTTATATCTTTAATGACTCATTTGTTTTCAATGTTAATTTCATAGAGCCACTATAGTTCTTCAACATAGCTATATTGGCCCTGGAAAGTTTTCTTTCTTTTGGTAGAAATTTTGGTTTTAATAGAAATTAAATGACCCAGTTTACAGCATTTGATTTTTGTGCAATTTTTCACAGCAGAGTATTTCACTACGGTTTTTCCATGGCTATGCCCAAGGTAAATATCCCACTTACACGAAACTTAAGTTTTATTTCACACCTTTTTAAGCCGCGAAATCGATGGTCGCTTTATCTAATATCACATGTCCAGTTCATCTCACAGCATTCACCTGGAATACGCTTAACCTTCAGTGAGGGATTGATGCACCCACGCGGCACCGGAGGAGGGCCTGGGCACTGTTTATCGTGAAGGAAGCCATTTCTACATTCCATGACCACTGCACATGACGCATCAGTGAGTTTCTCTCCGTGCGATAATTTTAGGCCATCATATTTACAACTTTTATCTGTGGAAGGTAAAATTTGATTGTAACAATACTTCGTATAAATTAGGTGAGGCGTACAGTCAACGACAAGGGCTGGTTTTTGACCATTCAAATTACTTCACCTTCACCCGTACATATTTTTCGACCGCTTATTGTAGCATTAGGATAATTTTCTTCCTCTTCGGCGAGTAAAGTGATTACTTACGTAAAGAATACCAAGCACATATAAGCGTAAAGTTAAGGGACAAATTCTTTTCTCGTAGCTATCATAAATGTTTTAGTAACTCTATTATAACACATTTATTTTGGCTTTTTTCCTAACTTTATGTATTTTAAAAGCTTAAGCTAACTCCTCGACCAACATAGATGCAATGCACCCAGAGCTGAACGCAGTCACTAGCTGAATACTCGTGTCTCCCTGTGCTAGATTCGATTAACATGACGTGCTTCTTAAAGATCTCAAATGTCCCTTGTAATATTTTCGTTTGCAGCTGTAATAAAATGAGTTGGATCTTTATGATATTCAAAAAATTCAGCTTTAGTTAACTTCGCACTGTTTTAAATTTTCCCTTAAAGACACATTTGTTGAAACAATTTCCGCTGAGATCATTTTCCGGTAACAACATAGATGGTTCTTCCCTCTCGAAAGACCGTCTAAAACACTCCATATTTTGCATCGCTCTGGAGTATATCGATTTATTTTCCCCTTAATTTTACGCTTATTTGTGCCTGGCATCCTTTAAGTGAGTAATCACTATACCTACCAAAGAGAAAGAAAATTATCCTGATGCAACGATCAGCGACAAAAAGAAATTGGGATGTTAAGTAAAATAACGTTTCCTAAGTCCTTTGAATGGAGGGAGAGACAAGCACCACGGTAACTACCAGGTAAAAAAAAATTGGCGTCCCAAGACTTCTGTAAATGGGCTAAAGGTGAATATTAGTAATATCAGTAAGGTATCGACTTAATTTCCAACTACCTGAACAGACCCAAAGTTTCTTGCAGCATTTTCCAGGCACACTAATAGTCTTCAACTTGGGTCGCGCACAGTCCTTGGGTTTTTGTGGTATTTTTGGGCAGTATTCCATGTGTAACTGACCATTATAACAGCTCAAAACTCCCGTACATAATGGATCACTCAACTTGTAACCGTGCTTGATAACACGATTATTGAAAGTACAGTGTCTTGCTGTATTCAAAGAGATAAAAACCAAACAGTAAGTAACCATACACTTAACTATTCGCTCTTTGAGCTAACGAATGAATATAAAAGTAGGTTTGCAAAAGAATAGCGGGAATTACATTCGAGCACCTTCGCTTTTTGAAATGAGTGAAACTTAGAACGGCGAGTGCGACGTAACAACATAGCCGCTCCCAGTAAAAATTTCGTTTTGCCGGCATGGTAGTTTCATTCACAAACAAGGTCAAGTAAAAGAAAATTACACGAAAAATTTCAATGTTCTGAGCTTTTAGGCTTGGTTTCCTCAAATTCCAGGGTAGCTGATTACATCTGCTTCGAGAATTCTTTGAAACTTGTGTGGGTAGTGTGGAGATGCCACATAGCCGCCCTTGAAATTTATATTGCCTGTGTGACATTTTCATTAAAATAGAGCGGAAAAAAATACTTATATTCTCCTCGTCTATCCTTAGATTTTTCTAATTTTCATTATATTTGGTTATGGTTTGTCATGTGTAAAAGTTTGATTAATTGTTTGTTCTTCTCCTTAATTATTCAATTCATGCTGAACTATTGGAAACATTGGTTTTTTTTCTTTTCCTTGTAAACAGTAGAGGATGAGAAAGACACAATGATGAAAGCCTGGTGAAGGTTTTTTAAAAGGTTAAAAGCACAGTAGAAACAAGGTTCAGTCGGGATAGTTTAACCCTTTACACCCTAACATCAGTATGCACAACCTCCATACTGTCATCTATACATTTCCGAAGGTGCTGACAAGGAGAATTTGTTTGACAATCAAGAGCTTCTTTAGCTGGTGATCATTTCCTTTATTCTCATGATCTTAAATGAATGATTCAGCAGTGTTACTGTCAGGAGAAACTAGATGCTGGTCACTCTTAGGGTTTAAAGGGTTAACTTCTACAGAAATAATAATGTCATTTCTTTTCCATCATTTATATAAAACAAGTCTATCACCTTTGCATTTCCATTTCATTGTACAGCATTCTCCTTTTCTGTGTCTTACCACCAGTCGAGGCTTGGTGCAATCATTTGGTTTAGGTGGAATTCCCGGACATTTTTTCACAGTAGCTATGCCATCTTTGCACGTGACAACTCCTCCACAAAGCTCACCACTCCACTGTTCATTGTTTTTCAGCGTAAGATTCCCGTATTCACAATGGAACACTGAAAAATATAGATAAATAACTATGTGATTCCTCCATGTGTGGGAATATCCACTATGTTCATGAGTTAATCTAACTAGAGCACACTGGAACAACGGGAAAAATCTCAATGAGAACTCATCCGGAATGACGAATATTTTAGAGCGCTATTCGACTGAGTGTCGTGAAACCAAAACTACACACAACAGTCAAAAGAAAGTAAAACACCTCTAAGAGCAAATATGAACTTAAAATAAAACTAGTCAAACAACCTTAAGCGCAGGAAAACGCGAGCGACCAAGTCGTGATTGGTGTCAGTTTTGCATCTGATTGGTTGAGAGAGTGGCGCAAGTTTTCTGGGCCAATCACAAAGCGAAGTAAACCAAAACTAAAGCAACTCCTGGTCACTTTCAACACTCAATCTTAAATTACTCAAATCCATTTTGCTCTGTGATTGGTTTTGAAGAAACACGTGACCCTCTCAACCAGCACTGCGCGAAAATAGAGACTAAACGCCACTCTCGCTTCCCGTGCCGATGTCATGTGTTATTTTGAGTTCTCATTGCCTCCTAATGATATTTTCCTAACTAACTTTATCCATTGCGATTCCCAAAGTTCACGATTTGATTGAAAACACCTGGGTCCGGTTGTATAAAGGCCAGATAACACTATCCAACGGATAAAACGCTATCCGGCGGATAAGTGTTAAGTAAACGTACTGTGCTATCCACCGGATAGAGATTTATCCAGTGGTTATCCATGCTTCAAACAACCGGGGCCTGAAGGAAATATGCTTCAGGGCCCAGTTTCTGCTTAGTTGTTTCTAAAAAATCTAAATAAGGGATATCTACCTCGGTTCTTCTCGATTTCTCCTCTCTTTTGCCCCTTACTGACAAGCCCAAGTTGAGAGAATACGAAATGTGGATGAGGGATTGGTACAGGTTCGCAGAGCTCCTTGCTGTAACAGGCCACACCAAAACAATGCCCATCAATCAAAAGCGCAACGTCACACGTGTGCTTACTGCAACACCGCTGAAGGCAAGCGTGCATGCTCGGGGTCTCACCCAGAGTATCAAAATGTCCAGCTCTAGTGCTGCCTTTTAAGGAATGGCCAGAAAAAATCTTGTCTGTATGACACATCTGTGATGAACCTGAACAAGAAAATGGACATTTATAAGTGTAGGGATACGACAACAATTCCTGAGCATTCAAAACTGGGTTTACTCGTTTTACTCTCTTGCTATTTATCTATGAAAAATTGCGAAGCGTATCGGGGTCTTAGGGTAATCGAGGCTTGGAAAATTAAATTATTTTGAACAGGAGCTTTGAGATACCACTTTGAAGGCAACATGCAAAGAAGTGTAGTGGAATCGATTCTTACAAGAATTGCTGTTTTAACAGCTTGACCCCTTAGAGTGATTAGCGTCTAATTTCCCCTTACAGTATCACCGAGTCAAACTTTAGGGTTTCGAGACTAGAAGAAATAACAACCAACTAAAGAAGCTCTTGATTGTGAAACATATTCTCCCTGTCAACATCTTGGGAAACGTATGGAGAATATGCATATTGATGTTCAGGTGTAAACGAATAACATAACGAAACCATTTTGAGACGCCTCCACTGATTCTCTCTAAATATCTTCTCGTTAGGTTAAATTTTGCATTGTACCTTTATTGACAGTCTTTTTGTGCACGACTTTTGAAAGTTTTTTTGCCACCTGTGGATGCACGACATGGGATGTCATATGCTTGCCGTGCACTCTCTTTCTTGCCAAGTGTTTCACATGAGAAACTCCAACGGATGCTTTCTTCACGCTCTTTTTCCACACTCCCTCTTGTTTACGGACAAGGTCTACTTGTTTAGCTAGAGGTTTTGATCTTCCTTCATCTTTTGCTTTCTCATTAGGAAACGTTGTATTCCTTAGAAGTTTCGAAGCACTTTCATTTACCATGTTTTTAGCTTTGCCTTCTACCGTAACTGAAGTTTCATTCGAAGAATTTCTAGGAATATTTTTATGTAAACTCGTTCCATTCTGTGGCAGTTCTGTTTGATTTCCTTTCTCTTCATGGTAAACCTTTTGGTCATCACTTTGCTGAACTAAGGCAGCCGATGAGCCCGAGTCTTGGGCTGAAGTTTCTTCGTGATTCCCTGTTTCCAGTTTTTCAAGTTGTTCCGCGTGTCTGGATTCTTCTAGCACCATTTTGATCAAGTTTCTTGGCTTAGATCGGTGCACACTCACAGCAGGTTTTTTCTCTTCTGATTCGATGAGTTTAGTCTGTCCTCGGTTCATGTCACTGCTTCCTTCGATTTCATCCCTGTTTGCTGAAGCGTCGTCATCACCACCTCCTCCAGAAACGGGTTCTCTGCTAAATAATTTTTCATACGATTTAGTGTTAAGCATAGTTTAACCAAACCACTGTTAAGCAAATTTGTTCGTTTGAGCTATCGCTTGGTGATATTCTGGAAAACAAATTACACTTTCTGTGTAAGGACACCAATAAAGAATACCAACAGACTGACTAGCTATCTTTCTAACTGTCTGACTGTCTGACTGTCTAACTGACTGACTGACTGACTGACTGACTGACTAACAGACAGACCTGCTGATGATTAGCTGGCTGATTACCAGGCTCTCTGACTGACCGACTAACGGACAGATGGACAACCATGTGGAATTCTTGTTCCGTTCACGCACGTGGCGCTCTCGAAATTGCTGTTCCTAGCGGTATACAGGAAGCGTGTCACATACGGACCCAGTTACGGCCAAACTCGCCGTAGAGTCTCTGTGGCTCAGTGAAAGACCAACTGAGCGCTGGATCAGAAGGTCTGAGGTTCGGTTCCACATGGAAGACTTTGTGCTAACACCCGTAAAAGAAGAAAAAAAAACTTTTTCTGAACTACTTAATGGCTGACGGGCCAACTGAAATACGGACTGACTGACTGGCTGGCTGGCTACTCAGGCTATTACGTAACAAACATCAATCAACTGAATTAAGCTCCACCTTGCATAAAAACTTTGATTTCTGCCCTCAGCACTTCCACTTTCGCCAGCACTGCGTTCACTGTCTTCAGAAGAACCTGAAGACCAACCTGCTTCATCCAAACCGCTTTCGTCATCATCGTCATCATCAATGCTCTCGTGCTGCTGCTGTTGCCGCTGCTCTTCTGACATCGCATTCTTCTGATCAATCTCATCTTTCTTACGAAGACCCGAAGAGTAAGAGCTTCTGACACCGGTCCTCGAGTTCTGATCGTTTTCTTCATCGTCCTCATCTTCATCGTCGAATCCCTCATCTGCAAGTTCGTCATCATCGTCACTCGCTTTATCGTCGTCGTCCTGTACATCAGAACGTTTTGCTCGTTGATATTCCATAGGATCGTCATATATCAAATTGTCCTCTGGGTAGCTTGTGATAATGTCTGGAGCAATGTCGCCTATAAAAAGCAATGTCTGAGTTATCATCTTTTGTTTCAGTCATGTTGTGGTAGAATTAAGAAACTAGCAGCACCTAGAACTGAAGTGAATCGGCTACTCAACAGTAACGTAATTTTATTGGTCTCCTCTAACAAACACATGCTGAAGAAAGCGAGGTCATGATCCAAACCCAGACTTTCGAGGGCTCATCCTTCATTTCAATATAATTCTTTCAATGATGACCTCCTTTTTAGTCACCTTTACAAATTATTCCACCTTTCCTATATTCAAATGCTTATTAAAAATCATTTTCATTTTTCAAGGGGAAACAGGACGTTTCAGGTTTGCATGATCCCCATCTTGATTAATGGTGTTGGCTATGAAGTATCATCTTCACCACGAAGTAAAACCACTGTCGCCCTCTTCACTCTAAGATGTGCGATATTTTCAAAGGCACTTACCTTTTACATACAAAGGGAAGAAAACAATCAGAGCCTAAAGAAAGAAATGGGGAGAAAGCTTAGGGCTGATAACTAATATCTACAATACAACAACTCTGTGTCTCCACTAGCCTCCCATAGCCCGAGTGACAGATAACATTGAAACACTAAGAATTGTATCTACAATAAATTCGCGGAGGTACACAACCCCCCACATTTGAGTCGCGCACCGTCTCCTCACGCAAAACTATTAGTATTACTACTCAATTACGCACGTGCAAAATCTGAGAGAAATCGTAAGGCCGAAATATACAATAATTTAACTTCTGACCCGTTTAAAAAAAAAGATAGCGCTGAAATAGATTATGTTAATTTATCAAAGTTAATTCTCCCTCAGTACTGCGTATTCTACAGTCGACTGCGTCAGTCCTTTTTGCTCGGACCCGCTCGTTCCACCGCCCAGCCTCGACTAATGACCGTAAAACTTTCTTTCAGCTATCACATAGAAGCTCTGTCAGCCTTGTCTAGCGAGCGCCTGCATCGGAATGAAGACTTCCGCTAACGAAGATTAAAAAAACTCTCCCCCTCCTTTTTTTCAGATTCCTCCTCTTCACCTCCATTTGACACCAAGTTACATGGAGATAATCGATTCGGATCAATTTCGATGTATTTATAATCAAATTCACAGCAAAGACGAACGAAAGATTTTAACCTTTACTTTGGCTCAGCTCAGGTCCTTGTATAAATTCAATATCTTCATGATCTTCTATTCGCAACAAACGTAGATACTTTCACATCATCACATTATTGCTCAAAAGGTGATAGCAAACGTTAAATTTTTGTCGCATCTCGATCCGGTCGCAAGAACAAGCACATTAGCGTAATTTATGTAAAAAACGCCATAATGTTGTACTGGATAACAATGCATTTAAAACTGGCGCAGTCTCGACTTCTACAACGTTACCAGAGTTGTAATGAGGTCAAACTGATGCCTTTAAGAAGAAACAATGAATTAATTTAGGAAAAGTGAACTTGACTCACCGTCACGATCCAAGACCCAAAGTGGTTTGCGATGGCAGACATCTTGGGCTGATAAAAACTAACTTACAGTCTCACCTAAATAACGGATAAATCATCGGAAAAAAAAGGAAATCGTAAACGTAAATGCTAGGCGTTTCCGATGAGCTAAACAATATCAAATTTAATTTTGTAAACAATACAAGACAAAAAATGATTGCAAGATCAAACGCTCGAAAATCATATTTCTACTATTGCGCACGCGTCTCTACCATTTGAAAGGTCGCAACACCGGTTGAACCTGGTAGGCAACAGGTACTTGAACAATGACTGTCATGTATAAACCAAACATAATGTAGTGTGAACAAATATCAAAAATGGAAAGTTAATGGACTCCTCTAATTTGGGGAAAAAATAAATGTAAATTAAATGGCATGAAATTCTGAACTGTCAGTTGTCATTCAGTCAAAGGAGTTTTTGATGTAATCAGGGTATCTATAATACTGGTCTGACAGAGTTTACAGAAAGCGTGAAATTTTGGAGTACTCTGACCATTCATTTCAACGGTTATTAACCGCTAACATATTGTGATTTACAATGATCTAGCCGTACCCTCCCCACCCCCTGGGAGAAAGGGAAGAGAGGGTATCCTACCTAGAGAGGGGAGGGCACGGTTACACGTAGGCTACCAGCAGAAAAGTTGGAGTGCTGGACAATGGATCGAGGGGCATGGGTTCGAGCCGTCGCCAATTTAACAAGAAGATTTCACAACGCTTCTCTTTTTCGGGTTTGAAAGACGTTGCTGTTTTCACGAAAACCCTTGGTCTAATCTCTCACATTCAAACGACACTTTAGTTTTGTCCTCTTCAAAATATTCAGTTTTCAAACGTCCGTAATGGCCAGCAATTTCTTAACATCTCCACTATCAGGAACATGTTAAAACCAAATACGCTTTCAGTGACCGATTTGACCAGATACGCGACAACACAGTAGTGCTGGAAGAATTTTCCTTGCAGGAAAGATGTTCGCTAACTTCTGACCTCAACTTCAGGATTGCCAGGTTGCGCTTAAATATAAAGTTAACAACTTAAAATGAAATAAATTACAAAATAATCTAAGTACAATTTTCCCCCTTTCAAAGAAGATGGTCGCGCACACAGCCCAGGACGAGCCCTTACTCCCTTATCTACGCCTCCCCCTCCCGCCCTAAATGCGGAAGACCAATCGTAGACGAAATATTAGCAGACAGTCACGCAAACATGTGGACAGACAGGGACTTTGACGAGCGGACCACGAAATAAACAGATAGTCTAAAGTTTCGCGTATTGCAGATGGATGGTAGTTTTAACTTTATTTTGAAAAAAGATTTCCCTCAAGTAAAAACCCGTATAACATTTCCTAGCAGTATGACAATTAAATTCAAAAAAAATATCTAAAATTTAAATATAAACATATTAAAAGATATGAGACATCTTTCACCGAGCTGTATTTGATATCCTTGTTATTGTACGACGCCAAGAGAATAAAGCCTATCCTTCTGAAAATACTTTTTCTCTTGTGACATGTACATACAAAAATGTGTTTCTAAGCACTTGTGGCTTATCTTTCCAAAAATTTAAATAACTTGTACTATTTATTTACTTATTTATTTCATCATTTTCACACAGTGTAAGTAGATTAGTTTATTTATATCTTAGTTTTGGTCAGGCAGATGTTCATAAATGGGCATACTCGCTATAACATACACTTTAAATATGCTTTCAATTTAAAACATTTACAAATTCAAATTGAATAAAAAGGTTTTGATAAGAGATGGATAGTACATGAAGTGTATGACCTATTGACCTCATTAGTCAGACCCAGATTGGGAAATGAGCCTAAATTGGGGGAGAACCCACTGTAAGAACAGTGGAAATTGAACCTAATAACCTTAGTCTTGAAACAAAATTATAGTTGTGCCAATGTTTAAGTTGACTAAATACATTTTGCTGCAGTGACAACTGGCCACGATATAACAGCAACCAATCCTGCAGGCCCTACGTGCATGTACACTACATCAAAGTGTACTTTTTCTATTTACATAACTGTCTACTCCAAATCAAATGGTAAAACTGTAAGGTGAGGTTAAGAGACAGCTTACCAACCCAGAGACCCACATGGCTGTACTTGTCAGGGTGTTCCACAGTCAAACTGTGAATTATCCTACACCTGAATCTGAATCAGTTGAAAGATCCCCTACCAACACAACAGAGGACCTCACTGAATCTTCAGGCATAAAACTGCGTTGAGTCCAATTTGTAAGGCCACAAGATCCAAACTTTTCCTTTTCTAGATGTTCCTTAGTTGCAAGAACTGGTTCAATTTCTATGGTATGCTTGTGAAAATGTTTCTGAATTCCTGATGCCATTTTCTCTGAGTACTTAGCATAAGAGTACAAGGCTCCCCCAAGGGTATTCAGGGAAACTCCGATGAGTGTTAACGGTGTGGCAGCCACTCCACCAAATGTATAAAATCCAATGATGGTCGTCAAGACACCTTTAACAACGCCTACGAGGCTAGCAAGAAAAAAAGAGTAAGTTTCCTAGGGTATTTTCCTATCTGGAGCACCAATCAGAAGAGTACCATTTTACCACTTAACCAATCATAATATAGTTAGAAATGTTCAACCAAAAAAAACAAAAGGAATTTATACAGAGACCCAATGACAACTGAACACAAATAAATTTAACCAAGTTGCAATTGGTTTTAATCTTGGATCACATTAGAGTTGGTTACACAAGTTTTTTTTTTATAACCAATGACAGAGGGCAGCAATGAAAAACCAATGCAATCCTGGATTATTTTTGAGACTCAATTGTTATACTGCCCCCTCCCTCCCCTTCCCCACCACCACCCTTCTCTCTTTAACCCTTCAACTCACAGGATCTGGTTGTTAATTCTCATTTCTGGCTGCTAAACATTTCCTTGTAAATAAGTTACAAGAAGTTTGGTGTCAGATGGAGATAACAACTTCAACCTGATAAGTTTGAATATTCTCATGACCTGTTTGCTGGATGATGTTTAGATATTATAGGGAGAAGTAACTTCTGGGAATTAAAGGGTTAACCTGAAAAGCAAGTATGTGGTACTTCAACTTCTATTTCCAAGTAGCAAATTAAAGTAATTATTCAAAGAAAAATATTTTTCTGTAAATTTCATGTATGTGTTGCCCCTGAAGAAAATGGATTGTGATTATTAAAATTCTGACATACATTATTGAAGTTAGTGGCAAATATCATGATGACAAAAGTAACCAGTCACTTTTGACAAACCAGACACAGTAAAACATTCAACTTAAATACAGCTTTTACAGCTCTGGTGATGACACGAAAAACAGTCATTTTTAGGGCTTTTAAAGGATTTTTCATCTTCACCTGGACAATAAAAATTACAGTATAAAATCACCTAAAATGTCAAAAAGTGCTCAAGTGCTGTCAGTGGACTGGTTATTAAAAAAAATTCATCACCAAAAGCAAAATTTTAAATGCAGTTTGGAATAAATCAGTGAGGTTTAGTATTTCAAAATCTACCAAATTGCACAAGTCCAAAGGGCAAATGAAATTTGTAGTTCTTGAAAAAATTACAATGGGTCTTAGGCTCATCATCTTCCCCAACTTTGTTACAAACTGTTGGGTTAAGTACTCAGGAGTTTTGTTCATTGCATTCAGTTTTGTACTTTTCAATACTTTCTTTTTTTCTTAGGGCTGAGACCTCAAGACTTTCAGCCGCTTGTTTGTGCTTTGCTTGGTTTTTTTTCTAGCACTTTCCCTCAAACACTGAGTTGTTTTGATGTGTTTTCTCTACTCTACTGTCAATCAATTTACTTTCAACTTACTACACTGTTTGAAATTAATTGACAAGTTCTTAGCAAAAGAACACACCAAAAGTTTTTCAATAAAAATTGTTATCAATAAAAATTGTCATAACAAGAGGAGCAAAGCCAGCTCTGATTTGAAGTATCAGAAGTTTCAGGACACCAAGGATTAAGAAATTGGGATTCTATTCAAATGTGTGCAACACTCTAACATTCACACACATTTGGATTATTGAACATGTGCAAAAGTAAGCATCAAAATAATAATAGATGTTTTACCTTGTTGTCAATGCTGTGTTCATTGTTGTGCATAAAAATAGAGAATAACTCAAGATACAGCCCATCCCAACATCAAGCAAAAGTGCAGCCTGGAAAATAGAAACAAAAATGTTATGGTTATAACCATTTTAAAAGTAATCAAGGGTTTACCATGATAAGGACATCTTCACATTCACTATTTACAAGGCTGACTCAAGTTTGCAAGGCAAATTCACTTTCATTTTTAACCCTCGGTTTCTTTTTTGTTACAGTTAGCATTTTTAACACTCTTTGTGCCAATGCTTAGTCATGCCAATAGGGCTCTTTTTTCACTTTCAACAGCTTCTGTAATAATAATAATGTAAATGCCTATTCTGAGACAAACCTGAAATTCAACAACGTAGTATCCATCAAACTTAAGAGCTGCCTGCAGCTCTTTATTGCACAATGTGTAAATGAGCAGAAGAGGAATACAGTTGATACTGTTTGTGTGAAGTACAGTCAGGGCTGATAGACCCTTTTCCGAGCCTGTCTTTTGGATGTATGTAAGATAAAAAGACTGGCAAATCACACTTAGCAGAGCAGAGGCATAGGCAAAGGCTGAAAACTCTAGATCTCCAAATCCTGAAGGAAAAAAAAAAAACAAAAAACAAAAAACATTAGCATAGAGTCTGACCTCCAAAACCTTCTAACATTGCCAATTTTTGTTGTAAACTTTTGTTGTTGTTTTCTTTCTTTTCAATTTTCTTGTTGTAATTTGAACATTAATCTGTTATATTCACCATCATAGTGGACAACATATTCTGCAGAATGAGCTTGGGGATAAAATATTTCTCTCAATTATTGGGCAATTTTTTCACCATCGCATCATACATGACTTGTGTTTTTTAAAATGTAAACAAAAAAATTAAAGCTTCCTCAAAATGAAACAGTTCTCACCTGCTGTAATACAACCAATTACAACAAGCATAACAGAAGTAACAATCATAAGGGATGGCTTCTTTTTCAACATAAAACAAGCAAACAACAAACTTGTCAGAGGGAGAAGTCTTCGTAAAACATTGTACCTTAAACAGGAAAAGGAAACAATAAGTCAAAAATTAATTAGTGAGGAATTTTGCTGTACCTATAAGGAAGGGCTTTTTGATAATACAATGATGTTTTTTATTAAGTCATCTCAACTATTCTCCCTTAAGAATTTAAGCTGCATAAAAATATTCACACAAGAAAGAAGACTACAACTTATCAGCATTCTATCACTACTGGTGCTATCTGATAAGCTATGCTATTTACCCCATACTCCAAGACAGATAGTGAGTTAAGTGTGTACTGCAGCATGCAGCAAAAATTCTATTGTACTTTTCAATCACCACATTTTTAAGTTTTCTGTCATCTGTTAATGAACAGACTAATGGTTACATGGAATCCATTTTCTTAATTTTACCTACTTTTAATGGCACAACAAATAAAGCAAATTTTAAAATTTCAAAATTATACCCTCCTTCATGAAACAACATCTGGCCATAGTTACCAAATGAAAGGTGTTGATTATAATATTGGTATCAATTTCAAATGCAGTTTGAATTTTTTTTGGTTTAAAGTAGCATCTAATGATTGTGGGAATATTATGCCACATCCAAAAAGTAATACTTAAACTTAGACAAGCAATTCAAAAAATAAATTACAGTCAATTCTCCACTAACAGACACTCTTGTAAGTGGACAGTTCTACCTGTGGACACTTCCTCAATTCCCCTTTTGCCCCCCTACTCTAACTGTTTCTACCTATTCCCATGAGTGGACACTCTCTTGTGACTAGATGCAGAAACTTTTGAAATGAAAATTAGCTTTTTCTTTTGTGTACACTCTCTTGTAAGTGGACACCCCATGGATAATAATTGACTCTTGGCAATTGAAATATGTCTTAATTTTGCAAATCAACAAAAAATATCAACTTTGACATGGCAACAGAAGAGTGGGGATCAATTTCGTCAAATCTCCATTTGTCTGCCGGAAAGCACACTGTCTGTTCATTTGACAATAACAAGAGCCTGACATAACACTCTCAGGTGAGTGGGCATCCACCCTAGTCTTCTTTGGTTTCCACTTGTGACTTAAAATCTTATTACATCAGATCATACTTACATTGGTATGGTTAAATAATCCAGGGCTTGAAGAGCTAACGTTGTGTGAAGGGCAAAGCATATTGAAGGAATAAAAAACATCTTTCCTCTATTGAAATACAATCAAAAACAAAAATACAATTAAACTATGAATTCAAATTGTTTTAATCAGACTTGAAGAAATAACTAGCCATGAAGTGCAGATCACAGGAGGGTTAAACCAAAAGACCAACATCTTTTGTTGTGACCTTTTCTGCTCTTATGAAATTGACAGATACCTTTAAAAGATATCAGTCAGCACTTACACCCTGGCAACACAATTACACATACAATTACGGACTTTGTTTCTTTTTTTGGCATTCATTTTCAGGCCCACGCTCATTGGCTAACCCTTCAACTCCCAGATCAAATTTGTAATTCTCCTTATTGTTAACCATACAATTCTTACCATGTTAGATCAGAGAATTTAGAATTGGATCAACTAATTATACCCAAATTGACATTTTTCTTTATTCTCATCACTTATCTGGTTGATATTGTATTGATGTTGTCAGGAAAAATTCTGTCTTGGTCACTCATGGAAGTTAAAGGGTTAATTCAAATTATTTAAATTTTTTAAGACTGATATGTTCCACCGTGCATACAAAAATTAAGTGGTTTGGGGATTTTTGATTCACACTGGGCTTATAACATTTCTTTGGCATTTAAAGGGTTTTAACAGATTTTGAGGGCCACCAGGAAAACTGTCTTCTGGAACAGTTACTATTCATCCAATCTTTTCCAATGGTTATGCAGCCTGAACTTTGAAAACCACAACTACATGTACAATAATGCAACACCCCCCTGATTCTCTGTTTTAATTATACAGAGAAGTTACAAAAAAGACATTGTCAAAGATAAATTAACTGGATTTGGGCCGTGGTACAGCTGTATATCTTCCATATAAGGAAGCTCTTTGAAATAGGTTTTCATATAATCCAACCTCAATTATCCACACTAAATACATGCAGTCTGGATAATAGGGAGTCCGGATAATCGAAAATAATAATATAAATGACACAAAATAAAACTGAAATAATATGTAAATCAGAATTAAATGCAATGGCTTGACGTATCTTAGAATTGAAACCAGTAAATTGCTTAGGGTTTAACTTCATGCCAAAGCTTTGGTTTAAAACATTTCCTCTTCCAAAGGAAACAACCCTTTTATGTATATTAACCATACCATAGACATAATAACCTAAATTAAAAATAATTCATAATAATAGTTTGTAGGAATCTTTATGTACCTTGATAATATTTTTAAAAACCCTGAGCCTAAGGAGCCCTTGTTTGAAATTATGGCCTTGGGGTGGGAGCTCATTCTGGTGAGGGCACCTTATTCAAAGAAATACAGTATTCTTATTTAGGCCAACAGCAGGCAAGCAAAAATATTTGACGGATTTTAATTAGAATTAGAGTATGAACTACATATTAATAATAAGATATACCTTTCTAGTGTGTACTTCGGCACATTGGAATATCCCAAAAGCCTCACAACTTCAACAGTAATTGATACCATAATCACTTGAGCCAACATAAGGACATTAGGAAAATGGAAGGTATATGAGGTCAAGACAATCTGCCAAGAAAAAATCATTAACATAGAAGTGTTAACTTGCTGAGCTTATAACTGCTAACATTACAGTTGTTCCTTATTTTCATGCTATACCTCATTACTCTGCAGAATTTCCTCCTAAGGCACACACAGAAACAGCTCCTTTTTTTCTTATTGCCAGAATTTGCCAGAGAAGTATTTTCACAGAAAATTGGGTACATCAGTGGCCAACCATTGTAACTTTCTCTACTTAGACCTTAAGCTCCCATGAGTGCCAAGACAGAATTTATCCTCACAATATCAAATGAATACAAAATCAAGCAGACAAGTGACCAGAACAAAGAAAAATTAATATAAGGGGATTGTTAGTTGATCTGATACCAAATTCTGCAAACTAACATTCCTAAGAATTGCATGGCTGACATTAAGGAGAACTACAGATGAGATCTTGGGAGTGAAAATGAACAGAAACTCTCTTTTAAAGATCATTGTTCATAATAAAAATTTTGGCCAATATGAACATGCTAGGACCTTTCAAGCGTTATCTCTGTTTATGGTGTTGGAGTTAACACTGGGAATTTTCCAGCTTTGGCCAATATCTGATCGTTAATTCTCCCCTCTAGCTGCTACACATTTCCTTGTAAGTTAATTATGACAAGTTGGTGTTAGATCAAGATAACGACTTTTACCTGATACATTTGAGTACTCTCATTACATGTTTTCTGGACAATGTATAGATACAGTAGGAAGAATTTACATGTAAATCACTTCTGGGAGTTAAAAGGTTAACAAGAGGCCACTGGTACCCATACAATCAGGGAAATTGTTTTGAGGGTGACTTTTTTTGAGAGTCATCACATGTAAAGCAAGGAGCTCTAAAGATGGCCCCTGCATATGACGTGTTTTGGATATATAAGCTTTCTTTTAATCCCACCAGAAATACCATGGACCATATTATAAAAGTTCATATTGTAATTAACACTGTTTTCTTTTTGTCTTATATATAGTTTAAGTACACAAAACTTAGAGGATTAGCAACCATTGTTTGGGGAAAAGACAAATAACTAAAACATATCATGCAAATATTTTTTGTCTTGTTTATGACCAGTAACACCAGTGAGTCTCACCCACACAATGCTATCATAACAGCATTAATATTAAGTTTACCATTTGTGTGGATTTATTATCTCTACCCTTCCATGCATACATTAAAAACATGTTCTTTTAGCCTATTAAACTTCAATGCTTTGAAAACAAAACTTAAAAGTTTGTTAAAATTTTGATAGAATGGAAACAAACATATTACCATGGAAACTGTTGTTTAAGAGTTCCGTAACCTTTACCCAGCTGTGCAAGATATAATCATTTGATTTCATAAGTTAGTGGTCAGTGGTATGCCACCCATGAAATTTCTGCCTTGTTTGCTAACTAGAAACGCCATTGTTATATACCCAGACTTCCACTCAACAAAACAAGCACTGTGATTGGTTGATTCTTGGTCAGATGCCCTGATTAAATTCAAATGTATCCTGACCAGGATACAACTGTACAGTTGTTGCCCACAAGCCAAATACAACAGCACATGATCGTTTAAGGGAGAGTCAAACAAAGCACTTAATGTATGGTCCCTCGGGAAACTAGTTAGTTTTGTTTTCCCTCAAGTCCTGATGTTTCCTTCGACTTCACCTCAGGAAACATCAGGACTCCAGGGCGTGAAATTGCGCCTAAGACAGGCGCCAATGCAACTAAATTTTTCACTTTGGCGACCAAATCCTGAAAGTTAGTCGCCAAATTGGCGACTACAATGTTTCATCATAACCTTACCAAGAGATATAGCGAATTAAATAAATTTGCAAAGATAAATCTGCGGCAAACTTCCTCGTTTAGTTTG